ACCATTCTGCTACTTATATTTTCTTATTCTTGTATTATTTTTCTTATATTTTCATAATTTCCAAGTTCTGAAATAAATCTTGCTTTAGCAACAAATCTTGTTTTATGAATTTAATGTTTTTTTTAATCTCCCTAACAATATATTTTAAAGTTATTTTCTATCTGGATTCATATTCTCATGTTAATTTTTCTGCTTATTAATACATTTGTTGCCTTTCTTTCAATAGTGTTGGTTTTCCATAAATGTTTAGTTAGTCTTGCTTAACTGCTGCTTTTTTTTTTTTTGAGACAGAGTCTCGCTCTGTCACCCTGGGTAGAGTGTAGCGGCATCATCGTAGCTCACAGCAATCTCAAACTCCTGGGCTCAAGCAATCCTCCTGTCTCAACTTCCCAAGTAGCTGGGACTATAGGCGGGCACCACGATGCCCAGCTAATTTTTCTATTTTTAGTAGAGATGGGGGTCTCACTCTTGCTTAGGCTGGTCTCGAACTCCTGAACTCAACCAATCCTCCTGCCTTAGCCTCCCAGAGTGCTAGGATTATAGGTGTGAGCCACCTTGCCCAGCTAATTGCTACTCATTTTTTTTTTTTTTGCTACTCATTTTTATGTGATAAATCATTGTTGAAAAACCCATGGCTGTTAGCTATAATTACAGGGGCCTATCCCCAGCCATAGTAGAATAGGGGCAAAACATGGTTTCAGGGAGAATGTGCCAACAGTAACTCATCTCTGGAGGCTAGGAGCTCCCTATCTACCCTGACCTGCCTCTCCAGCTCCAGGGACTACAAGCGCTGCCTGTGATGCCTGCTACTCAGCACACCCCCGAGAGGCACATATACTCCATGCTCCCTCCACTCCCTGTCTGCTATGAGCTCAGAGAATGCAAGGCAGCCCCATCTTCACTCACTGTTCTCTTAAACACGTTCTAGACTGCTCTCTCCTCCTGTAATCTTATGCCAACTGTTGTCAACTTACAGAAATTTCTCAAAACTTATGTCTGGTAACAGCTTCCTCATTTTCTAATACTAATGTACCTTTTTCAGTTTAATAATTCATTTTTACCAAGGATATGGGGTGTCAGATAAGGCAGATGTAGGTGCTCAGTTTGCCATTTTGATCTGTTTGTACCTATATTCCTAATACTGGCCTAGAGATAAGATAGAGAGGTGTATATGGGTGTGTGTGTGGATATACTATGCCAGATGTTGGTATCGAGATAATGCTAGCCTCATAAAATACATTAAGCAGATCATATGGCACTAATATCTGTTCTTTGAAAGTTTAGAAAAGCTCTTCAGGCCAGGTGTGGTGGCTCACGCCTATAATACTAGCACTCTGGGAGGCTGAGGTGGAAGATCGTCTGAGCTCAGGATTTTGAGACCAGCCTGAGCAAGAGCAAGACTCCGTCTCTACCAAAAATAGAAAAATTAGTCAAGTGTCACGGTGCGTGCCTGTAGTCCCCGCTACTCGGGAGGCTGCGGCAGTAGGATTGCTTGAGTCCAGGAATTTGAGGTTGCTGTGAGCTAGGCTGACGCCACAGCACTCTAGCCCAGGCAACAGAGTGAGACTCTGTTCCTGCCCCACCGCCCCCAACAAAAAAACAAAGAAAGAAAGAAGAAAAGCTCTTCAGTAAAACATTATATTTTTGTACCTACAAGGTAATTTTTAATAACTATTTTAATTTTTTAAAAGGCTCTTAATTTTGCAGAGCTTCCATCTCTTTCATTTATAAAATACTAACATAAATTTAGCTTGTGTTATTTTATAAAATCTCTTTCCTTTTATTCGGAATTTTTAAAACTTACATATAAAATTGATTTCTCTCAATGTTTTTATATTCTAATTTCCAATGTTATGGAAACTGTACAGATTACCCTGAATCTGATCACTTTATTAAGAAAAGATTTTTTGCACATAAATAATAAGCTCCTATATTTGTCAACCTATTTTTGTTTCATTAATTTCTGTCTTTATCTTTACCTCTTTCCGACTGATTTCCTTGGAGTTATTTTTCATTTTTTTTAACATCTTAAATTGACTTAGCTCATTTTCACTTTTTCTTAATGTTAACAACACAAGATTATGCTTAATGCAATTTGGTATCCTGCACTGGATCTTGAAACAGAAAAAGGACATCAGTAGAAAAACCGAGGAAAACCTAATAAATCTATAGTGTAGTTAGCAGTAACTTAACAATGTTAATTTCTTAATTTTGACAAATGTACCATGGTTATATAAGATGTTAGCATTAGGGGAAACTGAGTGAAGTATAGGAACTCTCTGTACTATTTTTGGAATTTTTCTGCAAATCTAAATTATCCCAAAATAATAACTTTATTTATGTATTTCTAAAAGCTTATGTAAGTATAGTTTTGGCAATAACTATAAGTTTTGATATATAGCATTTACATTCCATGACTTTCTAAGTAGTTTCCCATAGTGTAATATTCACTTTTAGTTTGCAGAGTAGTTTTAATTTCTAGTTAGTAGAGTTTTAAAATTAAATTTTATTTTCAGTATCACTAAAAATAAGTTGGCAGAAATGACTGTACAATTTCCACATACTGGACCATGAGGTTTTTCTTTATGATCTCAACTCCAGCTCCCCTCCACTTAATTCTGAAGCAATAAATGTGGAAGTATTTTATTGGGGGTGTGAAAATAGACTATGGAGAAGTGTTTACAATAACTATAATTTTTTTTATTGAAACTCTGTTTTCTACTTGTACAA